GTCAAGAGGGACACATTGTTCCTTAGAGCTGTGGCTTCCCGTCAATCTGGCTTTGGTTGAGATGTATTTTAGATCTCTATGCCACCCAGATCCTAAAAAAACATTTGTGAGATTCAGGGGAGTCGGTCTCTCCTCTGATCCTTGCATCGGCCTGTGTTCTTATATTTAAATAAATTAAAATAAAGTGGCAAATTCATTTCTGACTTCATCTATTTACTGACCCTGATACAGCAGGTGCCAAGGCCGTACAGACGTGATCTCCTGGCCAGGTGAGCCGATGCGTTTTTTTTTTTGTTTGTTTTTTTTTTGGTTAAATAGAAAACCTCTGTTTGGAAGGAGACAATATGGCCTATAACTGGTAAGAATACATATAAAGGGTGAGCTGTATACATTGAACAAATTTATAAACACAATACTTCATCATACTTCATCAGCTGAACTCAAAGATCTAAGACTTTCAGGCCTATTTCTCTCAAATATTATTCACAAATCTGTGTTGGTGAGCACTTCTCCTTTGCCAATATAATCCATCCACCTCACAGGTGTGGCATTTCAAGATGCTGATCAGGCAGCATGGGTATTGCACAGGTGTGCCTTAGGCTGGCCACAATGAAAGGCCACTCCAAAATGTGCAGTTCCATCACACAGCACAACGCCACTGGTGTTGCAAGTTTTGAGGGCGTGTGCGATCGGCATGCTGACTGCAGGAATCTCCACCAGAGCTGTTGCGTGTCAGAGTACATCCAACCGACCTCACACCTGCAGACCACCTGTAACCAGACCAGCCCAGGACCTCCACATCCAGCATCTTCATCTCCAAGATCGTCTGAGACCAGCCACCCGGACAGCTTCTGCAACAATCGGTTTGCATAATCAAAGAATTTCTGCACAAACTGTCAGGAACCCTCTCAAGCTCATCTGCATGCTCATCGGGGTCTCGACCTGACTGCATTATCGCACAGCCATTGAAGAGTTGGACCAACATTCCACAGGCCACAATCAACAACCTGATCAACTCTATGCGAAGGAGATATGTTGCAATGCATGAGGCAAATGGTGGTCACACCAGATACTGACTGGTTTCTGGACCCCCTCGGACCCACACAGTGAAACTGCACATTTTCGAGTGGCCTTTTATTGTGGCACACCTGTGCAATACCCCTGCTGTCTGATCAGCATCTTGATATGTCACACCTGTGAGGTGGATGGATTATCTCGGCAAAGGAGTGCTCACTAACACAGATTTTGACAGATTTGTGAACAATATTTGAGAGAAATAGGCTTTTTGTGTACATAGAGAAAGTCTTAGACCTTTGAGTTCAGCTCATGATGAATGGTTGACAAAAATTCCTGACATGCTACTAATAAAAGGATCCTATATCAGGTTTGGAATTGACCTGATATTATTAGACATCAAACAGGCCTACATTTCTCCAGCTAAACTCAGATTCTCCTTGTCATTGAGCCCATGGCAAAGCAAATACTGCCATCTGCTGGTTTCCTACTAGATCACATCAAGCCTGTTCAACAGTAATTTAAGTTTTGAGAGGCACACCACAAAGCTTGTGCAATCGTAATTTTACCTTATCTTAGAAATATATCAAAAATGATTAATGTTAATTGTTAAGAACACCTAGACCTTTATCTCACCCCGTCTGGGTTACTGCAACAGCTTTTTTGCTGGCTTGACCCAAAAGAAACAATATCTGCCAGGCTTTTAAACAGAACCAAGAAACACGATCATATCGGTCCTGTTTTAGCTTCATGACACTGGCTCACAGTGTGTTTTAGAATAGATAGCCTCTCTCCCTGCTATATCTCTGACCTTTTAGTCCCGTTTGCACTGGTACGCACCTTGAGATGCTCGGGTGGAGGTCTGTTGTCTGTCCCCTACTTAATTTTTTTTTTAATCCAAAGACATGCAGCCTAAGTTAATTGGTGTCTCCAAAATTGTCCTTAGGTGTGAGTGGTTGTTTGTCTGTGTGGCCCTGCGATGGACTGGCAACCTGTCCAGGGTGTACCCTGCCTTTTGCCCAGTGTAAACTGGGATTGGCTCCAGCCAACCCTGTACGCAGGATAAGCGGTTGACGATGGATCGATGAACTGTGTCCTGCTCAGAGACACAGGATCATTTTGACCAGCAGAATGTGTTTATATTATTCATTGTTTGCACCTGTATTTACTGAAATTCTGCTTGTGAATTCATTAATTGAATAACCCAGAATATGATCATGGTCTCTTTGATTTATTAGGCTATATATTTCAGTGGGGATTAAAATGATGTAATACATATCACAGCTGACGAATTATCAGCCTAACATGTGACTGAATGGAAATGACCATAAATGATGGCAGACTCAATGATAAAAGTTAATGGGGGAAATAACAGATTATGAAAACAAAATAAAGGAAGTTGTTTGTGGTCTTTTTGTTGTTCAAACCCGCAATGAACACGTAGGTGAAACACAAAACAAATCAAATGTAAAACTGAACCCTCCAGTCAATAACCAACGGTGGTCTTAATCACCTAGGGGCTCGTTTAAAGAGCTAATGTGAGAAAAAAGTGAGAATTGAATTTGGTTTTTATTACAGTTTTTCAAAATTGCTAAGACACATTCCTTGAAATCCTCAAAACCCAGTCTTAAAACTACATTCACAAAACCCCATGTGATCTGTGCTCAAAAACAATGCTTTCAAAACATCAACACAGCCAGTCAATATGTAAAACACTACAGAGCATTCTTTAAACACTACATCAAAAAATTGAGAACACAGCGTCCAGGGCATGTAGTTACAGAAAAATTGTTTTGCGTAGAGGAAACAAATTTTCCAATTTAAAAAAGTATAGTAATCACAACATAGTACAGTAAATATATAGTATACTGTGAGCACTGCAAGTAATACAGTATTGAATATCTGTATATTCAGCACTTGCATAAAAATACAGTACAGTAAACCCAAAGAACAAAAAAAACTCTAAATGAAAAGACTTTACACTCAAAAATGTTAAGCAGACCAAAATCAAAGTCAATGAGAGATTCATTCTGCCTCAGCATCATGTCTTTGTGCTGGGTCCTGCCAGAGGACTTCGTCCACATCACATGCAACCTTGTCCCTTGCCCAGCAAAGGAGGAAAACCCTCGGGTGTGCTGGAGACAGCCTGACTGTAACAACACCCCACTCACGTCTCACCACAGGCCTATTCTATGGCCCGTAAGAGATTTTCTGTAGTAAATGACTTTCGGTCATAGACCTTCCTCCATCAGGCAGAGAAAAATTCTTCTGTTGGTTTGAAGTAAGGGCTGTAGGTTGAAGGTAAACATTTATGAATCACTGGTTGCTGGTTTACATTGAACCACTTGCTTAGTCACAGTGAAAGCTGACATTGTCCCATAGACAGTATGTACTGCCGGCTGATGATCCTGCTGCTCACGTTCAAACACAAAATTCCAACGCGTGAATGTTAGTTTCTGTTTGAGCACTTAGGCTCAGTGAATGAATATGTGTGAATGGTGAATGCAGATGTAGTGTAAAAAGCGGTAGAGAACCTGTCCCTTACTTATAGCTTGGTCAAAGTGTGACATTGCCACCACGCTGGCCAGGGACTTGACCACAGGTTTGATCACATCATTAGAAACAAGAAAGTGTGCAGAATTATGAGTTGTTGTGTGTAAACGATGACAGCTGTGTTGTAGTTGTGTTTAACTTTTGCTGCATGTATTTACCATTTTGCAACACAAGTGCGTCACAGTGCAAAATGTGTTTTAGGCCACTGGGTTCAGAGAATGGGGTTTACTTTTTTAGGAATTGTGAAAAACTGTAATAACGGTGTTTATTCAAACTTGAACTGAAATTAATCATTTATAGCCAAACACAACTCAAAATGTTCCTTTGACTTCAATTTCGGCTCAACAAGCAAATATTTGTTGTTGTTACATTTATGTTTCTGTGACTTTTAAAAATAGCACAAAAATGTAAGAGCACAAATTAACAACATGACTTTAATCACAAATCCTGATTTTAGAAATCTTTTGTGTACATTAAAACAAAAACATGATGCCAGAGACTCACTGCAGAGAGTGAAAACTGTGGTCTCCCCCACACAGGGATACAGAGAGTCATACTAAATGGTGTGCAAATTCATTTGAATGGCCAGGACAACTTATATAATAAGTATTAAAAACAATTTGCAGTGTATTACACTACAACAGACAGCAAACCTGAACACCAGTATCAAAGCCACCACTACGGAGCCCCAGACGTCCCATAGAATAATATTTTTAACTTGTGCACGCAATTCATCTTATGGGACTTGAGGGGCTCCGTACGCCACAGCAGTGACAGTGGTGCTTATAGAAGCCGAAAAAAGTTCAAGCAAAAGTGGATTTCATTTCAATCAACCATTAACAACACGGGCGACTGAAATAAAATAACATTTATTTGCCCCATTTTCACATTATGTTGGTGTTGAAATGACAAGTAGGTACAAAAAGTTTTGAATCCGTGCAGTAGATGCTTCAACCGCTTCCACAACAAGTGGTTCTTTTTGCCAGCGACAGGCCCAGACTGTCTGACAACATCATGGAAAAGATCCCAACGAGGGATTTCTGGTGACCCCCTTTGTTTTCAACAGGAAGCTGAAGTCTCGGCCAAGGCAGTACTCACTGAAGTCTCATTAGAGGAGAGTTGTTGTAGGAAATGCCAGGGGAAATGAGGGAGGGGAGTTTCCTGTGTAAATAGAGGAGCTGATAGCAAGACTTTATTTTTCTCAAGTAGGCTACTGCACCAACTCTTCAGGCCTGCTGTTTCCTGATCACATCATGGTAACAATGTAAAACATTTCTGGTCTGAGCATGTGAGGCACATTAGCAGTGCGCAAAACACATTCTGCCTAAAGTAACAAACAGGGTGTTGGATCTACTTGTATGGTTTTAATGTACTCGATTCTTTTGGGATTCCAGACACAATCCTCCTCCAAACCGCTCGCCACCATTCCACACCCGGGTGGCACCCAGGCGGTGTTATAGCCGTGGTCATGCCAGGTCTTCTGAAGTGGATGGCCTTGATAATCGATCTTTTTCACTCTCCCCACGCTGACCTTAACCACAATGACGACCTTGTCAGACTCAGGGTGATTATGGGGATAGCAGCTGGCTTTCTCCACGTCTCTGCTGAGGTAGACGCCGCGGCCGAGCATCCCGTCTTTAGACTGCCGAAAACCATCAGACTCGATGGCTTCAGCATTCTTCCTGGTGGTGCCGTGGTACATGATATATTTTTTACCTCTGAACTCCTGGTTCATGCTGGTGTCAGAATCACTGCAGGAAAAAGGTTTATTAGTGTCAAGACTTCAGAAGGACTCCATGTGAAGAAACTAAACATCATTGAAAATAAAAACAATCCAAGTATGAGACCAGAAAATTAAGAAAATATACAACAGGACGCTCCAGTATTTAAGGTCCATTTAAATGTTTAGTCTAGTTTAGCACAAAGACTGGACCAATGTTCACATATCTGGTGAAATGTCTAATCAATTATTTGGATGGCTTGCCATTAAATGTATGGTATTTTACTCATAGCTTAGTTTCTGCTAAAATTGGCTGCAGCTTCTTAATTAAACACAGTTCCAAAGTGTGATCGTTCAGACAAACATCCTAAATCAGGAAGCTCACAATTATCAGCCTCCACATTTTCCACGGACGGGTTTACAGCACACTTCCTATAAGACAAACTAAATTTGTCTCCTCATACTGATTATACTTTATGTAAAAATGCAGACGTTCACGTACCTCTTTCCAGTTCCCTCCAAGGCTACTGGCTTTCACTATTCACCTCACTCTTTTTACAAGGACTTTTAGGAAGAAGTGCATCTGTCTTTCACTTTCTTTCTTTTCTCTGTGACTCCTCCCCTCCCGCAGAGCCTGAAGCAGCTTTCTGACACAATTTAATTTCCAAATTCATACAGTCAGTTTCAAAGCATATATGGATCGCATTCATTTGCAGAAGCTATAGAAACATCTAAATCCAGACTAGATAGCTATGAGTTCATTAACCAAATAATCTTTAACGTGACTGCTTTTATGCTCAATCTGTCATCGATGTAAAGACGCCATGGATTCAACCTCAGCTCAGAATAAAATCTTCAGGCTAACACTGTGACTATGTGGACATTAAGCCACCTGTCAGGTTGTCAACATTTACCGTAGGCTACTTTAGGCTACTGCAGAAGCTAATCACTGTTAAATCAGTGGTTTTCACCCCTTTACTGACACAGAATAGACCGCATTTGATAAGATTTTGTCCCAGGATCACCCATCAGATAACATTCCTGCTTTTAGATGTTTTATTACAGAAAGTGTATTACACATGACCAAAGTAGTCAAATGTTTTGTCATTGTGTTACATGGAATTATAATTGAGGGGATCACCTGGAAAACCCTCAAGGACCCCTGGAGGTCCAGTTCAAACTAATCTGTTTGAACAGGAAGCTGTCACTGATCAACGAACAATAATTTTTCATGTTGATGGAACATTCCTATAATAATTTCCATGTTGGAGAGGATGTGAATATTTCTGAGTGAGGATGATTGTGGTGCAGCTGAAACGACTAAAAGGAGCTTGTAGTTTTTGAATTTTAGTTGCATTTTCAACAGTACTATTTCATTAAAATTAAATTAAATAAAAATTAGAACTACACAACCCCCACATAGACTGCCCCAGAGAAAAAGAGAAAGACGAGGTTTTGAGGGCCCCAGGCTGTGACTGTAAGGAGGGCGCAGTGATATCGAAGGCACTGCAACAGACAGTTGTGCCCCAAGCTGCGCTGGCAGCTCCACCGATTGATGGCATTGGTTTTTCTGTGATACGTTTCAAGTGCATAGTTTGTGCTAACTCGTACGTAGTGGCATAATTTGTGAATTCAAGACGTACATTCATTGATTTCATTTATAGCATTTTCCCTCCCTTTCCACACAGTTCTCACAGGTTGGTCTGATATGCTGTAGAAATAAACCCATTTTTTAAATCACGACCTCGTGTTGACTACTGTAGGGAGCTACACAGGGTCCTCCTCACCACATGGACCGCGGCCGAGGGCCACTGTCTTGACGGCAAAAGCAAAAGCAAGTTCAGCACCAAGGACCGAGAGGAGATCCCCAGGTGATCTACAGTGCACCAGTGCTGGAGGTGTGGCAATAAACAGCACACCTGCTATTGTGCAACCTACAAGGGCGTTACATGTGTTGAAAAGTTGTGGGGACAAAGGGGCTCAGAAGACATGATGATACGCAAAATTTTAATCATTAAACATTTCATTTCCTGCATTCTGGGGAAAGTTTCTGCCCTAATTTATGGTGGAAATGTTTTTATTTATTTAACATAACGCAGTGCAGCTCTCTGATATAGTTTCCCTTCATGGCATCGCCCTGGCCTCCAGCACCACTGTGAGGAGTCCTGAAGTTATCTTTGATCAGGACAAGTCGTTTAAGTCTCACATTAAGCAAATGTCAAGGACCGCCGTTTTTCACCTACGTAATATTGTGAAAATCAGGAACGTTCTGTCTAAAAATGATGCAGAAAAACTAGTCCATGCATTTCTTACTTATAGGCTGGATTACTGTAACCAGGCTGCTCAAAAAGTTCCATTAAGACTCTTCAGCTGATCCAGAATGCTGCAGCACGTCTTCTGACAGGAACCAGGAAAAGAGATCACATTTCTCCTGTTTTAGCTTCTCTGCATTGGCTTCCTGTAAAATCCAGAATATAATTTAAAATCTTTGAATTTTTAGATTATGAAATGTTTTTGTCTCTTAGACAGCTGTGGAATGAAGCAATTTCATTCAAACTCTTTTTTCCTTTTTTGCAAATGCAATACAAAACTTTAATAAACAAGACAAATAAACCTCCAAAGCTTATTGTCATTTCAAGGATGACTGCTTGTTCAACCACACATACAGAGTTTGTCTGGCTGCTCAGGTCAAACAATCTCTTTTATCTTTACTACAATGTTCATCCTTTAAATAAAACATCACACCAGACAGGAGTCATGAATTATTAATACATTTAATGGAGGAGTGTTGGTCAGTAGTTTCCTGTTGGTCAGTGCTGTGTGTAGTTGTTGTTATGTCAGTAGAGTCTGAGTGCAGTGCAGTCTGTCTCCCGGCGTCTCGCTGGCCACAGCAGCTTGTCTCTGGACCGTCTGCTGGGCTTCCCTGGACCAGGTGTCGGCCTCTGCTCACCTGCAGACAGTTTTGTTTAGTTGTGACTGATTTCCAAACAAAATACAAATTCATACGATCAAACGGAAGCAACCAATATGCCTCACAGTATAACAGGTATGACTGAGATGCACAGTAACATGGAGGATTATCATTCATTATATTATAAGACACAAAACCAAACAGCTCCTACAAGATGTAATTCTACGAGTAGGTCATATATAATCCTCTAACAGTATATGCTAATTGTGATATTGCACTTATTCTAGAAAATATTTTGCTTAAGTGTTTATGGATCAAATGATCAGATGAGAGTGTGTTTACTTTATCACAAACTCTATCAACAGATATTCATTCATTATTCTGATACTCTGTTTAAATGAAAAGGTGCAGTTCCTCACTGTGACCACAGGAGGGCAGTAAACTATCATTATTGTGTTTTTTAATTTTCTTCCCACTTCCAAAAAGGAAATAAAAGTGGCTGAAACACTCACAACACAACACTCATTCTGTGCTGCTTTCAGATCTGTTTCTCCTGCAGATCAACTTTTCTCATGTAATATCATCCCAACACATATGTAGGCAGGATTTAGTCTTCCCTCCTCTTTTGTCATGTTCAAATGGAAACAGAAAACAAAAAGAAACTGTGTCAAGAAGTTGTTAAAGTTCACATTTTATAATCAGTAGCTTGTTTTAATCCGTGGTGGGGACATGTCCTCAGCATCCCCAGCACATATGGCGACCTGGAGTAGTAGTTGTCCGACTCCTGACAACATACTTTGATTATCCTTTAACAGAGACTCCAGTCTGAAGCGTCACTTCACTGATGAACCGCAGAGCTGCAAAGTTACATTAGGCTTCATGATCAAAGAAGGTTTTCATATAATTTCCACACTTGTGTTCATTTTTCTCTTTTTCTCTTTTCTCAGCTGTGAGTCTGCTGCGGGCGAAACACACATGAGACCGCCGATGTCAGTAACCTCCAATAAGGGGGTGTGTCAACCAGTAAAAGACTTCTGTGAAGGCTGCTCTCATGTATCCTTGCTCGTGGCTCCTGGCACGTCAGAGATCCCTCCTCGCTCCTCAGAGCACAAATCATGATGAAGCAGCCTAATAAAATATTGAATACAACTTTTCCAAAATCTCAAGCTGTCTCCAGGCCTGCTATTTCCTGATCAAATCATGGTAACAAGGCTTGGTAAAATCATACAGCTCCCGGTATTCAGCAGCTTCCACCAGTTGTCCTTCACTATTGTGATCCAATTGGAAAAAAACACAAAGGATTTCGGGCACTTCAGCATTCAGAGCGCTCCTGCAAAAATGCGAGGTGCTCCAAGCATCTACAGCGTGAAGCGTGTAGGGCACAAAACCACCTCCTGTCTAAATTAAAGAACAGGCTTTTTTGTGTTGTTTTACAGTTTTAATGTACTTGACTCGATCTGGATCCCAGACACCGGCCGAGCATCCCGTCTGCAGACTGCCGAAAACCTTTAGACTTGATGGTTTTAGCAGCCTTCCTGGTGGTGCCGTGGTACATTATATGTTTGACCTCTGTACCCCTGGTTCACGTTGGTGTCAGTATCACTGTAGGACAAGTAGACTTCAGAAGGACCCCATGTGAAGAAACTAGCCATGTGCAAATAAAACAATTCAGGAATGAGACCAGAAAAATAAGAAATTATACAACAAAACGCTCCAGTATTTAAGGTCCATTTAAAGTTCTTGATGTTTATCCTAGCTTAGCACCAGATTTGGGTTTTAGAGAACTGCGAGAGGAGAGTTTGGGCGATCTTAAGGCTAATTTATACTTCTGCGTCAAATCGACGGCATAGGTGACGGCGTAGGCTACGGGGCTACGCAGAGGCTACGCCGTTGCCTGACGTGCACCTTCTTCAAAATGTAACAACACGTCGAGTCGACGCGGACCGTAAGCTCTGTGATTGGTCGGCTGGGTAGCCTCGCAATGCCTCCAAGCCGACCGGAAGTACCCCGTGCTTTGAAGTAACATTTACTAGCGGAACTAGTCGCAACCCGAGCGAAATGACTCATTTCAGAATGTGATCCACTTGGTCGATAAAATTTGAAAAGGCTACACCAGCCGCACGTTTACAATTTTACCCCCATTTACGTTAGCAGAGCACTAAACCAGAAGTTAGCCTGCTCGGCCGGCAAACGTCAACACAGTGGACGCCATAGCGCTACTGCCGACTAGCGTTTGGGGGTGTAATTGCAGAATGACGGACACACCAACGCACAAGTATAAATGCATGGCTACGCAGACCCTACGCAGGTGTATAAATCGGCCTTTATATATGTGTTGGTGATTGGATTTGCAGGTGTGTGTGTAATGAGACGCAGGTGGTTAATCAGTGAGGGGAAAGAAGGAAGGAGTGGTCCTTTTCCTGAACCTCAGTTTACATAACACCATTAAAAAAGAAGCTGTGCGCGTTTACGCCCGAGGTACAGCAGCGTAACGTCTGATCATGAAAGTAATTCATTAAAGCACAAACACATATTGCCTATGGAAATCTGTTTACCCATGGTCCATCAGGGGAGCTACCGTCTTGTTAAGAGGAGCCGAGCTCCCCCGTAGTGTCCACCCTGCCCACAGTCTCAACCATCGGATTCCAGCAACAGGAAATAACGTTACTCTTTTAATCATGGATTTGTTTTTCTCGTGCTGAGATTGTAACAGGTACAATATTACCATTTATTGTTTAGTAATGTGTTACAGCAAAAAGCAATACATCACGGTAATTCCATTACTTTTGTAACACGTTACTCCAGAAATGGAGCGGCCACACGTGAGAGAAGACAACAAACGCCGGGAGCTGCTGTGCCATTCATCATAAACTTTGGCTTTAAAACTTCATTTTATGAGTTTTATGAGTCTGTGGTGGCCAGTGCTATCCTGTTTGCTGTTGCATGCTGGGGCAGCAGGCTGAGGGTAGCGGACGCTAACAGATTCAACAAACTGATCCGCAAGGCCAGTGACGTTGTGGAGGTGGAGCTGGAGTCTCTGTCGGTGGTGTCAGAGAGGAGGATTATGTCCAGACTACATGTCATCTTGGACATTGTCTCCCACACACTCCATGACGTGCTGCTCAAACACAGGAGGACTTTCAGTACAAAACTTATTCCCCCATAATTAGTTAGTTATTCAACTGGACATTATTATCTGTTTTTGTGCAATGGTATCTGTCAATAATTAATGTGCAATACTATGCTGCAGTTCTGCTTTATTCAACCTGCTGTTCTCCATTGCAATTCTTTCATAATGTAAATATTGTACATAACCATACCCCTTTATATTTTTCTTTACATTTTATTTTTATACCCTTGTATTTATGTATTTCTTTATCAACCTTCTTTCTATTATTACTGTTGCAACATTAACACAAGAATTTCCCCTCGGGGATCAATAAAGTATTTCTGATTCATACAAGGCCCAAGAAAAGAAGCGCAGAACGCAAAATAGGTTAGGAACCTGAGCATGTTCCATGGCCATCTAACGTTGGCTTGCTTCTTGCTTTAGCTACGACTCAGACTGTCGTTTGTTATGAAAAGATGAATGAGCGTTTGTTTACTTGCCAAACTTGTGGTTAACGTAATCACTTACGTCCCGCTGGCTGCCATCACGTTAATTATTACCGTTGGCTGCAAACAGGTTACAGGTTCATTGTTGATTTATTTAGTTATAATGTTACACTGGGTTTGAGAGTCTGGTGTGTGTGTTTTAAACTGTCATTAGTTGTAGAGGCATTGTACATTAGGCTACATGGTTGTGCTCTGTGAAAAACAGGTTACAGGTTTATTGTTGATCATGTAACACCACAGTTTTATTAACTTAACATTTCACTGGGTTTGAGAGTCAGCGGGTTGTGTTGACTTACAGTAGGCTAGTTGATAAGCTGTCATTAATTGCATTGCACATTACATGGTTGCGCTCTGTAAGTGAAAAACAGGTTACAGTTACAGAATCCCTTACAGCGAAGCAGTTTTATAAGCAGCCTGGATTGAACGCAGCAGGTGAAACATTCATCATAACCACGAGTGACTTGAGACTTAACTTGGACTCTTGCTCAGAGACTTGTGAGCATCTCTACGGTACTCCCAACACTGCTTAGCACTAAGATTGGACAAATGGTGAAATGACTAAACAATTATTTGGATGGATTGCCATTACGTGTATAGTAATGTTTTACTAACAGCTTAGTTTCTGAAAAAAATCGCAGCTTGACTGCAGTTTCTTAATGAGATTAAACACAGTTCCAAAGTGTGATCGTTCAGACAAACATCATAAATCAGGAAGCTCAAAGTTGAGTCGGCCTCAACATTTTCCACAGACGGGTTTACAGCACACTTCCTATCAGACAAACTACATTCGTCTCCTCATACTGATAATATTTTATGGGAAAATGCATACTGTGTGTGTGTTCACGTACCTCTTTCCAGCTCCTTCCAAGACAGCAGGCTGTCACTGTTCACCTCGCACCTCGGACTTTTGGGAAGAAATTCCAAAACAGTACATCTATCTTTCACTTTCTCTCTTTACCAGGATACCGGTTTGGCAACTGGGAATTCCCGTCTGCATCTCATCCTTAATTAGTGTTACCCAAAGTTTAGTAAGTGCATCGAATACCACCAAAAATATCTTCCACATGTTGAACAACCTGCTTATGTAATACGATGGATTTTGGATGTGCGGAGCCGGGGCAGAGGCCTGCAGTATCTCATGGATTTGGAGGGTTATGGCCCTGAGATTCCTCTGTCCGTCATCTTAGACCCAGAGGGAGTCAGAGTTTCATCTTACCCATCTGGATAAGCCTGGTGGCCAGCAGGCTGCCATGTGGTGGTTTACTGTCATGATTGGCTGCGCCGCCCTCAGACTGAAGTGTTTTGCCCTGTTTTCCCCTTCCTTGAAACACGCACATAGACACACACCAGTGGATGGACACTAACCAAATGTTTGCCCAAGGTCACCACAACATGAGGACAAGAAGAGATCAGCTGCACTGTGTAAAAACATTTTTTCAGAGGTTCCGATAAAATGTTATCTCTGTTACCTTGACATGTTAAAGTTGCAGTGAAGACTGTTCAAAGTGAGTCCTGTGAATCCAGAGTTAAGGGAGATAGAAAGGCGGATACATCCCATACTAAAAATATACTCATCAAACTTTCAACAAACCACTCAGCAGCTCAGGTTGAATGTGACCCATTATTTATTTTATTACAATGACACAGTAACAAAATGTCATTTACTTTTTATCCAAATATATAAAAATACATTTGAACATACAAAATAAATAGTTCAGCCCATGTATCCATAGGGACCACATCCATAGTAGGGTTGGACTGGGCGTGGGTTGATGGTATCAATGATCTGGATTTGACAGGGATCCCAGACGCAATCCTCCTCCAAACCGCTCTTCACCATGCCACACCCGGGTGGCACCCAGGCGGTGTCATAGCCATAGGCATGCCAGGTCTTCTGACGTGGATGGCCCTTAAAATTGATGGCGATCACTTGCCCCACGTTGACCAGAACCCTGATGACGACCTTGTCACACTCGGGGTGACCAATGGGATAGCGACGAGCTTTCTCTACGTCTCTGCTGAGGTAGACGCCGCGGCCGAGCATCCCGTCTTCAGACTGCTGAAAACCTGTAGCCAGGATGGACTGAGCGTTCTGCCTGGTGGTGCCGTGGTACATGATGTACTTATTACCACTAACTGGCTCAGAGAGGCCCAGTCGATTTACCCCATAGGGCAGACTAAAGTCATCTTCAGCCCACTGGTACTGCATGCTGGTGTCAGTCTCACTGTAGGAAAGAGGATTGTCAGTGTAAAGATTTCAGAGGGATTCCCTGTGAAGAAACTAAACAGCGTTGCACACAAGACAAAACACGCTAATGGCTCTGCGAGGCTTTACTTAGTGGGCATTCATAACGAAAACAGGATGTGTGTGGGGGCATGTTGCATCAAGTACTGGTGAGACATGAAATACTATCCAGAAAGTCCAGTTTAAGTTATAAATCAAGGCTCATCAGATGCAAAAATACTGCACAGAGGTTCAGATATTTTGTTGTGATAAAGTAAACACTAAAAATACTTGCTAATCTCCCCCAAATGGAGATTTTAGATGGTTGTACTTTACCACACATCCTCTGTTGCAGACTGAAAACTCATCTGTTCAGACTGCATCTTGCCCTGTCTCGATTTATTATAGTTTTGTTATTGTTTATATTATTAATGTGTTTCTATATGTAGCATTTAAAGCAGATCAGCTTATTGATTTGAGTTGATGCAGGATTATTGCCCAATTTCCGGGTTGCAGACGCATACTGTAGTTGAATGCTTATTATAAATCACTTTGGATAAAAGTGTCAGCTTAATAAATGCAATGACTGTAATGCAGTGATAACATATTGAGGTTAGCTTTAAACAAAAATGCAGGTGTTTCTTTCAATTGTTCAGAAAGTTACAATCAGGTGAAAGGGAGACTTTTATATATAAAACCCAACACCACTACTTTACCATCTGCACAGCACACTATATTCTTTGTCTTTAGACCCTGGATCCAGATAAGGAAAAACTCCCCCACATACTCCTTTAACCGCCTGTAGCTCTCAAAGACCTCGCAGAGGGTTTTTACTGAAACACTATCTAAACTTTGCTGTGCGTATTTTTGTAAAATGTTCTGTTAAATGGATCACTTCACATTTTTGCAACCCCGACCCCATCAAAATGATGTTTTTTATCATCCATGACAGTGTGTGGCACAATTTCTTTAGATTCTGAGAAAATCGCTGTGGTTTGAAAGTGTCCCACCATGACACATCTGCTTTTATCAGTCAGGGTCAGCATTTTCCACTGAAGGTTTAAGAGCACATTTTCCATCAAACTAACTAACTTCATCTCCTCGTACATGCAGTATTGACAATAATTATTGTAAAAATGGATACTTTTAAACGAAAAAAATCAAGTGTGTGTTCACCTACCTCTCCTCCTCTCTCTCGTCCTCCAAGAATGCAGGCTGTGAGTTCACTCTGCTTTTTATAAGGGAGGAAGTTTAAAAAATGTGCGGTCAAGCTTTAGTTTCGTTTCCCCGTTGGCACTGTTTTATGACTTTTTTCAAAAAGGATGTTTGTATTTGCTGTTTCTTGTCCTGCCAGCCAGCGTAGGGATCAGTGATGTCTTTGTCAGATGTAAGTGTGGAAGTTATGGGGCTTTACTCCCCTCTCTTACTATGCCACAGATATTTTTACCACAAGAAAGAAGAACAGATTTATTCAGAGTCTCATGTACAGTGGCAGATCGCTCCACACAGATCTCATGTTTTTCTCCATCGTTTCTTCAGAGGAAGCTTGAGGGACATTTAAGTCACAATGTCCATGTACATCATGATTTATTGGTTAAGTCTGTTTGCATTGCACTCAGCTGCATTTTGTCTTAAGAGATACCCCAAGTTTTCCACGACAACCGAGTGTAAAACATTCTTTGGTTGAAGTTTTGGCCGTCCCTGCAGGTGAGGTCATTCAGACAGCCAAAAACACTTTTGTCTCCTAATGCTTGATGCTTACGTTTGAATCCAGTTTACTTAAAAGTTAAAAGTGTCTCATACAAAATTCCTCCTTATTTTCAAATTGTGTGTGGACTCTTTGCCAGGACTGCACATTTTTCTGAGTGTAATGTCAGGGCTGTGACTCATCCCCAAACAAACACGCTCTGAGCTATGAGCATGAAACGAACAACTGATCTTTGGCGGTTTTCACTTTCGCGCCAAGATGTTCTGCTCTATAATCAGAGTGTGACTTTCTAAACAAAAATCAAGGGTCATGCTCTGATTTTGTTTCTTCAAGTTCCAGTGTGTAATATTTAGGAGGACCTATTGACAGAAATGGAATATAAATAATATATATATATTAATATAAATATGTTTTCAGTGATGTATAAAGACCTCACATGATGATGTTTTTATTACCTTAGAATGAGACATTTCTATCCGCATACACTGCGGGTCCTACATGGAAGAGCTGCCATGTTTCTACAGGAGCCCAAAGAGAGAAACCACCGTAGCTTCTCCTGAGTTCTTTACACATCTACTTTGTCATACCGAATAGCAATTCAAAATGTACATCAATTATTTAAAAAAAGAAAGGATAACATTTTCAGCAACTCAGAAAATGAAGTGACAACAACAACGACGTTGAAAATAAATTGTAACCCCAGAAAACACTGATTATTCACTCATTGCACAAAGGGTCTGAGGAAGTAGACAAGAAAACTGTTTGCAGGTCGACACAGCAAAGCTCCAGGCTGTGACTGTGAGGAGATCCAGGAGGGAGCAGTGATCTGAGAGCCCCGCCAAAACAAAATCCTGTCATCCTGCAAAAAAAAGGAGCTGGTCACCCAGCAAATGGAAAAGCAAATTCTGCCATCTGCTGGTTCCCTGGCGGATCATATCAGGCATATTGGAGAACACAAACCTCGTGCAAACCTGTTTTTACCATCTAAGAATGGATTACCGCAACAGCCTTTTTACTGGCTTTGCCCAAAAGACCCAATAAATATATCTGCCAGGCTTTTAACCAGAGCAAAGAAACGCAATCACATCAATCCTGTTTTAGCTTCATGAAACTGGCTCACAGTATGTTTTAAAATAGACTTTAAAATTTATTGATTATATATTGATTACTTTTAAGCCTTTTAGTCCCGTTGGCACATACCTTGAGATGCTGGGGCGGAGGTCTGTTGTCGGTTCCAGAGGCCCGACTTAAAGCTCACAGTGGTTTGCTGAATTTTAATCTACTGGCAGAATGTGTTTATATTATTCATTCGTAGTTTTAGCATTTGGATTTATTTATATTCTTCTTGGGAATTCATTAATTGGATAACCCAGAATATGATCATGGACGGAATTATCAGCCTCACGTGTAGCTGAATGGAAATGACCATAAATGATGTAAAAAGTAAAAATAACAGATTATGAAAACAAACTAAAGGAAAATTGAACTGTCCAATCAATAGCCAGCAGTGGCCTTATTACGCGTCTAGGAGCTCATTTCAAGACAAAACACAAAATAAAAAAAGAAGTAAGGATTTAATCTGGTTTGTGTTAATTATTTACAGCACAACATAGAAATAACCCAAACAGTTCATTTGATTAAAAACTGACATTTTTGATCAACAGAGAAAACATTTTTGTTTCTGTGACCTTTAAAAGGACGAGCACAAATTCACACCATGATGACCTAATTTTAGAAAACATCTGTGTACAATAAAACAAAAACAGTAATTTAATGCTGCGATCTATACCTTCATTTAATGCTGGTTAGAATATTATAACATAAATGATGACAGAGAATCACTGCAGAGAGTGAAAGCTGTGGTCTTCCTCACACAGGGACACAGAGAGGTCAGTCTATATACTGACTTTTTGTATTAATTTGAAGGGCCAGAATAACTTTTACAAGAGTTTTAAACATTTTACACCACAGCAGACAGCAAACACCAATATACTGCAGCAGCTACAGTGGTTCTTAAAATGTTTCTGTCACTCCCCCCGTTAGAAGCCGAAAAACGTTCAAGCCCCCCGACTCCAGTAAAAGTGGATTTAATTTTTATAAATCATTAACAATAAAGTAAAACATTCAATTTAGCAAAACAGCCTTGTTTTTGTTTATGCCACAACATGAATCACATTCATGCAGCTTAGTCAAGAACAGGAACTAAACTGAAGAAGATGAAGAGGCAGAGGCAGAGCGTGGAAGAGAGAGCGACGTGACCCAACGACAAGTTCATCATAGTCTCTAATAATGCAGCGCAGCGAGGATACAGACGTTTCAGAGCGGAGACGAGCGTCTCTCTGTCTCTGTTAGTATGAAGGACACTTTCAGTATTTTTAAACCTGGGCCCTATTTTCACAAGTGACAACATCCTTGTATTATCCTTTAACAGAGACTCCAGTCTGAACTCATAAACCACAGAGCTGCAGAGTAACATTAGGCTTCATGATCAGAAAGCAGGTGAAACACAGCTAAGGCCGCCAATGTTAGTAACTGATATCCAATACGGAGGTGTGTCCGCCAGTAAAAGACTTCCGTGAAGGCTCTCCTCACTCGTGGACAAATCATGATTAAATTATAAATATATAACTTTTCCAAAATCTCAATTAGGCCAGCTGTTTCCTGATCAAGTCATAGTAACAATGTAAAATCGTACACTATTGTCATCTGACTGGGAAAAAACACAAATGATGTCGGGCACCTAAAATGCCCAAAACACTTACAGCTAAATTAAACAACAGGCGTCTGGTTGTTGTTTTATGGTTTTAATGTACTTGATTCTTTTGGGATCCCAGACACAATCCTTGTCACCGCTCTTCCCCAATCCACACCTGGGTGGCACCCAGGCGGTGTCATAGCCTTCGTCATGCCAGGTCTTCTGAAGCGGATGGCCATGATAATCGATCCTTTTCACTTTCCCCACATGAACCTCAACCATGACGACGACCTTGTCAGACTCAGGGTGACCAATGGGATAGCGGCTAGCTTTCTTCAGGTCTCGGCTGAGATAGACGCCGCGGCCGAGCATCCCGTCTCCAGACTGTTGAAAACCTTTGGACTTGATAACTTCAGCGCCCGTTCTGGTGGTCCCATGGTACATGATATATTTTTGACCTCTGTACCCCTGGTTCATACTGGTGTCAGTAGCACTGCAGGAAAAAGCAGTATTAGTGTAAAGACGTCAGAAGGACTCCATGTGAAGAGACTAAACATCACTGCAAATAAAATAATCCAGGAATGAGACTACACAATTAAGAAACTATACAACAAGATGCTTCAGTATTTAAGGTCCATTTAAAGTTCTGGATGTTTAGCCGAGTTTAGCACAAAGACTGGACAAATGTATGTTTACTCATCTGGTGAAACGTCTATAGGGTAATCCTCTGACTTTCAGCACCACCATCAGGTCAGAAATGTAGTTTGTTCAATACTTTTGTTTCTGACTAATATTTTCAAAACTAATGACCATCCCATCAGCTTCTGCTGTACTTTATCTTTAATGCTAACCAGTGAATGTTAGCATGCTAACATGCTAATAAATACAACGAGAGCTTATACCTGCTAAACATCAGTATATTAACATTGTTCATTGTGTGATGTTAGAATTTCCCCAAAGCACAGCTGTGTCTAAGTACAGCCTCACAGCCTCACAGAGCTGCTTGCTGTGGGCTCTTCCTAATCTAAGGTAAAATATCCAAGTGAGGTGAAGTGGAAACTTTTAACTATCCAGTCAAGTCAAGTAAATGTACTTTATGCCGCCCATAATCACAAATCATTTGCCTCAGGGGCAGGGACGTGCACAGGGGGGTTGCTCTGGTTGCCCGGGCAACTGCCCGTTTGCCTTTCCTGACTCAAGTCGCCCTTCCGAGAAAAAAAATAAAATAAAAAAATAATCGCGATCGCAAAGCCTCATTCACTTCCATTCGGGCACCGAAAGTGAAAGTCAGTAGGGGAAGAGCAAACTCTGTTTAAGTGGCTGCACTGCTGCAGCGCTGCCTGCACGTCAGTCGATTCTGTTCCCTACCGGAATTCCTGTTTCCTTCCTTTATGCAATCATACTACAACAAATCATGCGTAGTTTTGCCCAGTTACCATACGTGATACGTACCAACAGAAGTGAATACGAGCTAGAAGCGCAACTGAATGTACGGGAAGCCAAAAGGTTAAAAAAGGATTGTATTTTTTTTCCGAAATCTAAGCGTTTTTTTATTTAATATTTTATTAGAAGCGAGTTTTCCCCATCTGTCAATTCAATCTAGATTATTTATTTTCAAATAAAAAAAAAAAGGAAAAAAATAAAAAATAATAATGTTTAAAAAAAACGATAAACAATAATATAAGGAACTCTTTTTTCATGACTCGAGTCATGTTTTTCTGTTTTGTTATTAATAGTAGTTTAGGTTATTGAGTGCTGTATTTAAGTGTTTTTACTTTTTGTATATTTTTTAATAAAAAAATGTTTTTTTCTCAGTCCTTCATATAGCCCATGTTTTTTTGTTTGTTTTTTTTTTGGGGGGGGGGGGGGGGTGCCTTTTTTCAGGTCAGAGCAACTGCCCTTCAAAATTCCTGTGCA